TAAGTTCTATCAGATCAAAATAAAACGAAAACCATTACCATCGCTCAGGGACCAATGAGAGACACGCTGGTAATAGATAATAAACCCATGGAGCACGTCGGGAAATTTAGATATATGTGCAGGTCCAGCGCTCGCAACCCGAGTAAAGGACCTGAGAAACCAAATTAGCAAATCAGCCCTTATATCAGGATGCCTAAGGAAAACTGTATGGGCTAATCCTTACATACGAAAGGAGAGCAAGATCAAAATATGACGAAGACATGCGTCAGGATAATAATGGCATATGGTATAGAAGCGAGAGAGCACACCAACAAGACCTGCTACGAGTCGCCGCAAGTCAGCACTGAGAAGAATATCGGGGAAGTGACCACGTAAGAAACACTGATATATAGCACAATGCGACGTACAGGATGTGGTAAGATGGAGAAAGCAGAGGAGAAGAGGTATAAACACATGAAGAGTATGACCGACGATAAACGACCACGCATTTTATGATAAGGAAAACCAGCAGGGACCCGTCCACCCGGAGACTTAGAATATTTTGTTAAAATTTGATGCATAGTGGTTGTGGAAAGACCAATTTCCTAAGCTCTATGCCAAATTGATGTAGTTGGGATTTCCTCAACATTTGCACGTACTGCTGCGATATTTTCAGTCGAGCGACCAGGACGAACGCGTGTTTCTGTTTTCGCTGCATTAACAGACCCAGTTTCCTGAAATTTCTTCATTAGTTTTCTCACAGTGGCTTCAGTTGGAGCATTCCGATGGCCCATAATTGTACACATTTTGCAAACTGTGGCTGCAAAACGTCCACCACTTTGATTATAATTTTTCACAATGAGAATTCGTTGTTGTGTATTGAACCGCTCCATTTTACTTAACCTCCTGCTGTCTACTTCTACGTCTACCGTCGTTCTTATTGGATCACCCTTTACATTGTAAAGTTTCTCCAACAGTACAATTAAATCAATTGATCAGTGATCACAGATAATCGGCAACGCTTACATRTTTGCGAACAATTATTTGCTTGCATGCATGGTGTTGTTTTGGTTTTTGSGTAGGGATGATTCGATACAAGTAAATACAAGTAGGTATTCGATACTTTTGTTTCGATACCGAGTACTTTGGTAATTCAATCGTTCTTTCGATACCAATACTTGGTGTCGAAATAAAGTACTCGTATCGATTCAAAGTATCGCATCGTCGTAAATAATCAAATTATCAAAACTGTAACCCTACTTTCACAGTCAAGACTGTTGTCAATCGTCTTAACTGAACTGAAAATAGTAAAAATTGATAAACATCATTAAACGTGAGTTGTCACCCTTACTGACCCAGCCTGACTTTTATACCATATATACATTGGTACCATATTACCACTAGGTCAATTAGATCAATATGCGTTATGACACCCTTACATGAAGTGTCTCCTCTTAGATAGGGATTATTCGGTACAAGTAAATACAAGTAGGACTTCCATTCTTTTGATTTCGATACCGAATACTTTGGTAATTCATTCGTTCTTTCGAAACAAATACTTGGTATCGAAATAAAGTACTCGTTTCGAATTGAATTATCAAAAGTGTAAACACTGCACAAAGTCACAGAACATATATTTATGAAGATATAGGATATTTTGTGAAGTCTATTGAAGAACTTGAGGTGGATATCTCACAGCCATCAACATCTAGCGGTTATAAATTAGAAAACATGTCGGAATTAAAAAGTTTTTTTGATGCTAGTACGGATAGTAACATACCTCCACAAAGGACTTTAGAAAACGCATTTTTACAAGTTTCGGCCAATAAGGAAAATACATTATTTCTAGTACTTTTTCTTTATTCAATATAATAGATATATCTATTTTGGAGGGAGGTTCAAAATACAACAAAATAGTGCAGGCATTAGCGTTTTTTGTTTGCAATTATTGCCTTCCTACATTGTGGAAGGAGAAGGATTTTTACGCTTTCTGAACGTGCTACAACCTAATTTTAAGATACCTACTTAGTGCAGCTTATTTAAAAAAGATGACCCACAAAAAATGTGAAGCTTGTGTAGCTATAG